GGAAAAAAGAGGTAAGTAAAATAGTGGTAAATATGGTAGAAAGATGAGTTGGGGGTCTGCATGTGCAGCAGTCTGAGTGCTAAGCAGAGTTTTGTTTTAACTCTGCAGGTAATGGGACGTCATTAGAGACTTTTAACATGGAAGGGAGGTCCCCAGAAAGGAACTTTAGTGCTCACCTAGCAAGATAGTTTAGACTGGAGGGAAACTAGAGACAGCAAACTGTTTATATGGCGACCTTGAATCATGTTTTGAATTAAATACATTAATCTCTCTGTTTCTTCATTTCAAGCTACACTTTTTCAAATATTTATTCTATGCACTTTATTTTAAAGATTAAAGGAAAGAGAAGACTTTCTAAACACTGTATTTTCAGGCCATGTGTAAATTCTGTGTTGAAGTACATTTTGAGAAAAAGTACAATATATCACAATTTCAAAGAATTTTTCTGACCCTAAATATATAATAATTGGATGTTGACCAACTGTAGGCTTTCCACTACTTTTTTTTTCTTACATTAAAATTTTTTTCATGGTGATTTATTTTCTTATTTTTATTAAATATATCATAATTCTCAATTGCAACAAATATTTATTTGGGGTTTCTTAGGGGCTAATCACAAGAAGGGACAGTAAAGAATAAAAAGTACGATGCCCAATTCTCAAAGGAAAATTAAAACAATGTTTATGAGGACATTGGGTGTACTTGACTCTGCCACAGAGATGCTTTCTCATAAGGTATCTCATTCATTCTGCATATTAGTAAATGTTCTCATTTTAATTCATGTGTGAAATAAATGGCCTACATTTACATACTTAATAAGAGGCAGAATTCAAACTCAGTTCTAATCAACAACTTAATGCTGTTTCCATACATCTATTAGCATACATAGCATAGCATCCATATATACTGTAACATCAGTTAGGGGGCTCAAGATATTCACATGTAAAGATTTGTGGCAACATATGGTAGCAATTGTTCGGGGCTAGGGGACTAGTGATATAGAAAATAACTGCCAATATGTCACTCCTACAAGTGTTGCAATGTATGCAACATACTCCCTCGTTTACATAATCCCATTGTAATTTCCACCTCTGTCCCAACAACCTCTCCCACTCCAGGGATGGAGCTGTAATATAAATCTATAACCAAGCTTACAGCCAGTAGATAGAAGGAAGAAAATGGTGTCCTTGAAGGATAATACATATTTTTATAGCTATTTAGGACCTTGGTGTTCATAAATCAATTGGCATGATTTTTGTTAATTTGTTAGTTAAAAAATGCACAAATAGTACAACTAATTTTATATTAGATGAGTTTAAATAAATACTTTCATTCTGCCAGTCACAGAATTTTGCTTAAAATGAATTTGTTTGTTAATCCTCACCAAATTCCCCAAGATAAGGTTTTATAATCATTGTTTTACAGTTACAAAATTAAAACTGCAAAAGGTTAAGTACCTTGCCCAAGGGTACCTACTGCTACTTTAAGAATTAGCCTAAGTGTTCAAGTCTGTGTGACACACCATAAGCTTTAAAGAGCCTGTTACCTACTTGTAGAAAGATACCTGAATTAAAAAATGATAATAGACCATGAAAAGTTTAAATGACCAGGGAGATAGGGCAGTCATTGCATTCATTTCTTACTGTTACTGTCACAAATTACCACAGACTTGCTGGCTTACAGAAACACAAACTTATTAGCTTACAGTTCTTAAGTCAGAGGTCCAAAATAGGTCTCACTGGGGTAAAATCAAGATGTTGGGGGGCTATGTTCCTTCTGTAGGTGTCGAGGACCATCCATGGCCTTCCCTCTTTCAGCTTCTAGAACCTTCCCATATTCCTTGGTTCAGGGTGCCCTTCCATCTTCAAAGTCAGCGATGGCTGCTCCAGTCTTTCTCATCACTTCATCTTGACACCCCTTCTTCTGCCTCCCTGCGGTGACATGGGTCCCAACCAGGTAACTCAGGATAATCTGATCTCAAGACCCTCCACTCACATCTTCAAAGAGCCTTTTGCCATGTAAGGTAACACAGTCACAGGGTCTGGAGATGTGGATGTGAATGTGCTGGGGCTCCACTGCCCTGCCTACTACAGGCAAGAAAGGCTTTCTTGAAGGAAATAAAATACAGAGGTTGGCCTTGAATGTCAGGGAGTTAGGGTCGGGACATCGTCAGAAGCAGCGCTCTGAGATGGGATGCGGGGAGGAGTCGCGTCATGGCGGCTCCCCACGCAGAGCCAAGACCGCTGCGTCATTCGCTGGTTTTGCGATTTCAGGTAAGTCACTTGAAATTTCAAGGTCTCCATTTTCCATCTGTGAAATGAAGTTCTTTTTCCAATCTTATAAATGCATACTTACATTTTGAATGATATATAAATAATAGTATTTTTAAAAGCTGGATTGGTTAAGTTCCAGCAGTGTTTACCAAGCCTCCACAAGGTGCATGGCTGTGTCCAAGTGTGAGACGGACTTCAGGCATCTTGTGTTTAGCTCCGTGGAAGCCTTGGATTTCTCCATGGACAGGCCGTGCAATTTCATTTCCAGCCTTATGCACTCTGAAACACAATGAAAAATGAAAAGTGGTTTTTTATATTGCTATTCTTTCTTGTTCCATAATCTCTTATTGTATGGAACTTTATTTAATCTTTTGTGAACCTTTTTCATTTAATTAAATTCTTGCTAAAATACATTCTTTTCAATATTTTAGTTTTATCAAAACAAAGAGAAAGGTACAGAGACTCATTATGCGTTATTTGCACTTATTAGCATTTTCCAGTATTATTTGTCATCTTCCTGAGATTTATTGTGCTAGTCTCTTCATATTGTACCATTCCTTCATGCGAAATAATTCCCATGCCAGACTCTACCTGACTGACACAAACAGACCTAGTGATCTGAACTCAAAGTCTACAGCCAGACTTGCCACAGGTCTGCAGTTCTCTTAGTATCTGTCCTTTGGATTAAAATATATATATATCCTCTTCCACCAACTCTTATTAAAAGGCAATGATTTTTGCCCTAATAGAAGTATATTGACTGGANATTTCCCAAAGCAGTTGGCTTGCCATTCAGTACAACCTGGGAACATTTCATACTTCTAAGTGTTGTACACTCAATGCAGTGTCAGACCCACGCATTAAGTGCTGGTGAGAGACTAGATGAAGTTAAGTGAAATGGATATGATGATGGTATCAATATACCTTCCCCCATTTTCCACAGTTTATCTGTTTTGTCTAGAGAGAAGACAGTGCAGGGTCCAGGTGGGAATGAGAAAGTGCCCTGGGGCTGAGCCCTAAGGGGGAAAGGGAAACTAGATTGTCTCAGTTCAGGGCACCCAGTGTGTTTGATTGCTTTCCCATTGCTATGGCGGGGCATTCTCTCAGTGCACCTCCACGACCACCTGTCCAGTCCCCGATCAAGCACAGACGTCTCCGTCTTGGTGCAGCCACACAAACCAGCTCCTGGGAACTCATCACTTGGAGATATAATGCATAATTTTGCACATCTGTATCTTTTACTTACAATCTGGCTTTCTAAAGGGAAGTGTGACCTTTCTAAAAAAATTTTTTCAGCTTTACTGACATAAACATTGTGTGGATTTTTGATATGTTTATATATTGCAAAATGACTACTGCCTTGGTATTAGTAATACCTTCACCCGTCACAGAATTGCTATCTCTTTTTTGTGTTTGGAACATTTAAGATCTACTTTAGTAGGAATTTTCAACTACCTAATGCACTACTATTAACTATAATGACCTGCTGTACATTAAGTCCCAGAACTTATTAATGTTGTAAAGGTTTGTACCCTTTGACCAATTTCTCCCCCTTTCCCCAACCCACAGTTTCTGGTAACCACCATTCTACTCTCTGTTTCTCTGCATTTGATTTTTTTAGACTCCACAATTTAACTGATATCACATAGTATTTATCATTCTTTTCATAATGCCTCCAGGTTCATCTGAATTGTTGAAAATGGCAGGATTTCCTCCCTTCTCACGGATGAATAATACTCCATTGTATCTTACGCAGCATCTTCTTTGTTCGTTCCTCCATTCGTGGACACAGGTCGTCCTGGCTGCTGTGAATAATGCCGGTGCAGCTCTGCTTTCACTTGGGTCATCTGAGAGCCTGAGAAGGAATGTGGATGCACATGACGTATTAAGGAAACGCTCCCAGAAGAGAGGATGCAAAGAAAGTAGGATAATAGAGAGAGGAAACAGCTAAGCAATGACGTCACCTGCACTTGGGGCCGTCCTGCAGGCTGAACCCACAGAGAGTGCGGAGTATGGATTTCTCCCCAAAACTGAGCTCACCTTGGGCCACCGGCGCAAGGCTGCACAGCGCTAGGCACTATTGTTCACCTCAGGGCAGTTCTCAAGAAGAGGGGTCTTCAGCAGCCATCACTGCACCAATGGAAGACGAAGGTTCCATCCTGATGAAGGAGATCTGGCCAGAGCAGCACAGACTCACCTTCACAGCCTGCCATCTACTTTCTTATTTGTCATTCAGTGAACCTTGAAGAAAATGTATTATATGTTTAAATGAATTTTCAGGCTACCACTGTGAGTGAGGTGCTACACCGTGTACTGAAGGAGGCACAGAGTGACTTCCTCACCTCAGTCTCTGCAGAGAATGGAGCGGGGGTGGGCAGACGAAGTCGCCGACACCTGGACCTTAAGTCAGACCACAACGTCTGCAAGACGCATGCGTGGATTTTATGGGACTACAGATGTGCTGTACATCGTATCTCAAAGTAATCAGGAAAAACTTCAGGGAAGAAATGGAACTTGTAATCTTTATGAGCACATTGATTTTGAGGAAAAAAGAGGTAAGTAAAATAGTGGTAAATATGGTAGAAAGATGAGTTGGGGGTCTGCATGTGCAGCAGTCTGAGTGCTAAGCAGAGTTTTGTTTTAACTCTGCAGGTAATGGGACGTCATTAGAGACTTTTAACATGGAAGGGAGGTCCCCAGAAAGGAACTTTAGTGCTCACCTAGCAAGATAGTTTAGACTGGAGGGAAACTAGAGACAGCAAACTGTTTATATGGCGACCTTGAATCATGTTTTGAATTAAATACATTAATCTCTCTGTTTCTTCATTTCAAGCTACACTTTTTCAAATATTTATTCTATGCACTTTATTTTAAAGATTAAAGGAAAGAGAAGACTTTCTAAACACTGTATTTTCAGGCCATGTGTAAATTCTGTGTTGAAGTACATTTTGAGAAAAAGTACAATATATCACAATTTCAAAGAATTTTTCTGACCCTAAATATATAATAATTGGATGTTGACCAACTGTAGGCTTTCCACTACTTTTTTTTTCTTACATTAAAATTTTTTTCATGGTGATTTATTTTCTTATTTTTATTAAATATATCATAATTCTCAATTGCAACAAATATTTATTTGGGGTTTCTTAGGGGCTAATCACAAGAAGGGACAGTAAAGAATAAAAAGTACGATGCCCAATTCTCAAAGGAAAATTAAAACAATGTTTATGAGGACATTGGGTGTACTTGACTCTGCCACAGAGATGCTTTCTCATAAGGTATCTCATTCATTCTGCATATTAGTAAATGTTCTCATTTTAATTCATGTGTGAAATAAATGGCCTACATTTACATACTTAATAAGAGGCAGAATTCAAACTCAGTTCTAATCAACAACTTAATGCTGTTTCCATACATCTATTAGCATACATAGCATAGCATCCATATATACTGTAACATCAGTTAGGGGGCTCAAGATATTCACATGTAAAGATTTGTGGCAACATATGGTAGCAATTGTTCGGGGCTAGGGGACTAGTGATATAGAAAATAACTGCCAATATGTCACTCCTACAAGTGTTGCAATGTATGCAACATACTCCCTCGTTTACATAATCCCATTGTAATTTCCACCTCTGTCCCAACAACCTCTCCCACTCCAGGGATGGAGCTGTAATATAAATCTATAACCAAGCTTACAGCCAGTAGATAGAAGGAAGAAAATGGTGTCCTTGAAGGATAATACATATTTTTATAGCTATTTAGGACCTTGGTGTTCATAAATCAATTGGCATGATTTTTGTTAATTTGTTAGTTAAAAAATGCACAAATAGTACAACTAATTTTATATTAGATGAGTTTAAATAAATACTTTCATTCTGCCAGTCACAGAATTTTGCTTAAAATGAATTTGTTTGTTAATCCTCACCAAATTCCCCAAGATAAGGTTTTATAATCATTGTTTTACAGTTACAAAATTAAAACTGCAAAAGGTTAAGTACCTTGCCCAAGGGTACCTACTGCTACTTTAAGAATTAGCCTAAGTGTTCAAGTCTGTGTGACACACCATAAGCTTTAAAGAGCCTGTTACCTACTTGTAGAAAGATACCTGAATTAAAAAATGATAATAGACCATGAAAAGTTTAAATGACCAGGGAGATAGGGCAGTCATTGCATTCATTTCTTACTGTTACTGTCACAAATTACCACAGACTTGCTGGCTTACAGAAACACAAACTTATTAGCTTACAGTTCTTAAGTCAGAGGTCCAAAATAGGTCTCACTGGGGTAAAATCAAGATGTTGGGGGGCTATGTTCCTTCTGTAGGTGTCGAGGACCATCCATGGCCTTCCCTCTTTCAGCTTCTAGAACCTTCCCATATTCCTTGGTTCAGGGTGCCCTTCCATCTTCAAAGTCAGCGATGGCTGCTCCAGTCTTTCTCATCACTTCATCTTGACACCCCTTCTTCTGCCTCCCTGCGGTGACATGGGTCCCAACCAGGTAACTCAGGATAATCTGATCTCAAGACCCTCCACTCACATCTTCAAAGAGCCTTTTGCCATGTAAGGTAACACAGTCACAGGGTCTGGAGATGTGGATGTGAATGTGCTGGGGCTCCACTGCCCTGCCTACTACAGGCAAGAAAGGCTTTCTTGAAGGAAATAAAATACAGAGGTTGGCCTTGAATGTCAGGGAGTTAGGGTCGGGACATCGTCAGAAGCAGCGCTCTGAGATGGGATGCGGGGAGGAGTCGCGTCATGGCGGCTCCCCACGCAGAGCCAAGACCGCTGCGTCATTCGCTGGTTTTGCGATTTCAGGTAAGTCACTTGAAATTTCAAGGTCTCCATTTTCCATCTGTGAAATGAAGTTCTTTTTCCAATCTTATAAATGCATACTTACATTTTGAATGATATATAAATAATAGTATTTTTAAAAGCTGGATTGGTTAAGTTCCAGCAGTGTTTACCAAGCCTCCACAAGGTGCATGGCTGTGTCCAAGTGTGAGACGGACTTCAGGCATCTTGTGTTTAGCTCCGTGGAAGCCTTGGATTTCTCCATGGACAGGCCGTGCAATTTCATTTCCAGCCTTATGCACTCTGAAACACAATGAAAAATGAAAAGTGGTTTTTTATATTGCTATTCTTTCTTGTTCCATAATCTCTTATTGTATGGAACTTTATTTAATCTTTTGTGAACCTTTTTCATTTAATTAAATTCTTGCTAAAATACATTCTTTTCAATATTTTAGTTTTATCAAAACAAAGAGAAAGGTACAGAGACTCATTATGCGTTATTTGCACTTATTAGCATTTTCCAGTATTATTTGTCATCTTCCTGAGATTTATTGTGCTAGTCTCTTCATATTGTACCATTCCTTCATGCGAAATAATTCCCATGCCAGACTCTACCTGACTGACACAAACAGACCTAGTGATCTGAACTCAAAGTCTACAGCCAGACTTGCCACAGGTCTGCAGTTCTCTTAGTATCTGTCCTTTGGATTAAAATATATATATATCCTCTTCCACCAACTCTTATTAAAAGGCAATGATTTTTGCCCTAATAGAAGTATATTGACTGGATATCATCATAAATATATGTAAAGAACAGAGAGCAGGCCCTGAAAAACAATTAAAAGAACTTGTACATTTTGGATAAATAACGAAGATGAGGAAAGGCCCAGCCCCAGGGGAAGGCTGAGTAGCCAGGATGCCTCAAACTGACACCTTCTCTGTTCTCTAGACAACACCCCCGTGGGGTCCTTATGCCTCCTTCCCAATGAGGATGCATCAGCCCCTACATCCAAACCCCTCCTCAGTCCACCCCACACACCACCTTGTGTATGTCATCACCCAGCTCGGAAGCGTCATCTTGTCTCTGCCACATGTAAGACAAAGTTCAAAGGCTCCCACAGTATGCCCTGCTCCTATCTTCTTAATATTACTGCACTTTTTAACACAGTCCCCACTATTGCCACACATGTCCACTGCATGATTACGCATACGTAAATGTCCCTTTCTACCTCTACCTCTCAAAATTGTTCCCTCGCCAAGGAAGCTTGGACTCCTCCTTCTTTCTGAGTCCACCTTCCTGGCTCTACCAGGAGCTTCTTATTTCCTCCGTTTTCATGAATTGCTTCCTCCTTGAGATTCTATGACATTTACAGTCAATCCTCTTCATTCGTCACAGGGCTAACCTTAGGGCTGCTGTTAAATGTAAGT